GAACCATTCCCTTTATCCAGCCTTTTTTTTTTGAGATGGAATCTTGCTCTGTCGCCCAGGCTGGAGTGCAGTGGTGTGACCTTGGCTCACTACAACATCTGCCTCCCAAGTTCAAGTAATTCTCCTGCCTCGGGCTCCTGAGTAGCTGGGACTACAGATGTGCCCTACTACACCCAGTTAATTTTAGTAGAGACGGGGTTTCACCATGTTGCTCAGGCTGGTTTCCAACACCTGACTTCAGGTGATCCGCCTGCCTCAGCCTCCCACAGTGCTGGGATTACAGGCGCGAGCCACTGTGCCCGGCCCAGCCTCTTCTGGCAAATGGGAGGCAGGGTCTGAATCAGGGTGGCCCCAGGGCTCCCTCCCACTGTGGGCAGCAGAACCACGCTGACCACAAGGACAGATGTGGTCCAGGTGTGAGCTGCCCAGCACCAGGTCCTCCTAGGTGGAGCCTAGGGCTCAGTGCCTTCCCATATGGGCCTCTAAGGGTTTGTCTTGAAATGCACACAGGGCAGGATAGGATCCCCCACGCTGCTGCTGCCCCACCCTGGAGGGCCCTGGGGGTGAGGGGACCGCCCGCACAGCCCCCATCTCCCTCAGCTTCCGTTAGTGAGGAAGTGTGAAGCCACTGGGCCCAGGTCACTTCCAGATCTGACTTCGCAGGGAGAAGGTTGGGTGGTGATCACAGCATCGGGGGTGCAGGCAGGGCAACCACAGTGTGGGGGTGCAGGCGGGGTGACCACGGCATCGCGGGTGCAGGCGGGGTGACCACAGCGTCCGGGGTGAGGGCGGGTGACCACAGCGTCCGGGGTGGAGGCGGGGTGACCACGGCATCGGGGGTGTGGGCGGGGTGACCACAGTGTCCAGGGTGGAGGCGGGACGACCACAGTGTCCGGGGTGGAGGTGGGGCGACCACAGCGTGGGGGTGTGGGCGGGTGACCATAGCGTGGGGGTGTGGGCGGGGTGACCACGGCATCGGGGGTGCGGGCGGGTGAGAGGCTTCACTCCCCACTGGCCGGGCCTTGGCTGGGGGCCCTGAGTCGGGGACCAGGGGCTCCGGCGTCTGTGCCCTTCCATGGAGAAGCAGCCCCCGCAGGTGGCTCTGAAGCCTCCAGAAGGGACTGTGCTGATCTTCCAGGATCCCCTTATCAATAATCGTCCTGTCGGTTCCCCTCCCAGCCTGGCATTTTCCTTCTGGGACTGGAGACTCCGGGGGTCCCTGCTGGGCTGCAGCGGGGTATAGGAGGACTATTTCTTTTTTTTTTTTTTTTTTTTTTTTTTTTTTTGAGACGGGAGTTCTCGCTCTGCCGCCCAGGCTGGAGTGGCGTGGGCCATCTCAGGCACTGCAAGGCTCCCTCACCGGGTTCACGCCATTCTCTGCCTCGGGCATCTGAGCTAGCTGGGACTACAGGCGCCCGCACCGCGCCCGGCTAGCTTTTTTGGGTATTTTTTTTTTTAGTAGAGCGGGTTTTCACCGTGCTTTAGCCAGCGCATGCGGTCTCGATCTCTTGACCTCGTGGATCCGGCCCATTCTCGGCCTCCCAAAGTGCTGCGGCGATCTATTAGGCTTGAGCCACCGCGCCCGGCCGAGGACTAATTTTATTAACAGTATTTATAGGGTCCAGCCCTACAGGGTCTGTGGGTTTTTCTCCTCATGTGTGGAGATGAGAGATCATAGAAATAAAGACACAAAACAAAGAAGAAAAGACAGCTGGGCCCGGGGGACCACTATCACCTAGACGTGGAGACCGGTAGTGGCCCCGAATGCCTGGCTGCGCTGATATTGGATACAAGGCAAAAGGGGCAGGGTAAGGAGTGAGAGCCATCTCCAATGACAGGTACGGTCACACGAGTCACGTGTCCACTGGACGGGGGCCCTCCCCTGTTCAGCAGCCAAGGCAGAGAGAGAGGACAGCTTACGCCATTATTTCTTCTATGCATTTCAAAGACTTTTAGTACTTTCACTAATTCTGCTGCTGCTATCTGGAAGGTGGAGCCAGGTGTACAGGGTGGAACATGAAAGTGAAACAGGAGCGTGACCGCTGAAGTACAGCATCGCAGGGAGACGGTCAGGCCTCCGGAGGGCTGTGGGCGGGCCTGACTGATGTCCAGCCCTCCACACGAGGTGTGGACCAGAGTCTTCGCTAACCCCCCGGGGAGGAAGAGCAAGGATTATGATGATACTAGAATAAAGAGTAATGCTACAAACTGATTATTAATAACATCATCATAGCTATAATCCATTTCTAGTATAACTATTCTTATGTATTTTCTTTATGATACTGGAACAGCTCGTGCCCTCGGTCTCTCGCCTTGGCACCTGCATGGCTTGCCGCCCACAAGTATTTTCTCATGAGAAGAGCTTTAATCCTAGTCTGAAAATAATCCTAACAACATTAAATCCACACCAAAGTGTCCAGAAAGACAGCACCTTAATTGCCATCCCAGGAACGTACCTGCTTCCCAGAGTCCTTCCCGCGTGCCGGTCACAGACCTGTCCAGAGGAGGTTGGGAAGGAGCATGCCCAACCCTGGAGGGCTGGGAATTCCGGCAAGAGGTGACACGGAGGCAGGAGGCGGAGCTGGAGCCTTCCCGCGGTGCAGACCCCCATCCTGGGGTGCAGGCAGACCCCAAGCTCCACCCCTCTGGGCCCTCTCTCTCTGGGAAGCCCCTCGAACTCCGTGGACTGTGAGGACGTGGGAGGCGTACCTGGGAGCGACGGGGCTGGCTCCGTGGCTGGAGCTGAGGGGAGGGACGCAACCCCTCCCAGTCCACATCCACATCCACAGTGACGCTTCACACCCAAAAAGTACTAATGAAAACCTATCAGGATGGTGGCACCTTAATTACTACTGGAATTCAAAACCGTGGACCTACCACGTAATAGCCACTGTGAAAGGATGTGGGGAGTGCTTAGAGCTGTTTTTTTTGTTTTTTGTTTTTTTTGACACATTTTTGCTCTTGTTGCCCAGGCTGGAGTGGCGCATCTTGGCTCACCCCAACCTCTGCTTCCCAGGTTCAAGCGATTCTCCTGCCTCAGCCTCCCGAGTAGCTGCGATTACAGGTGTGCACCACCACGCCAGCTAACTTTTTGTATATTTAGTAGAGACAGGGTTTCTCCATGTTGGCCAGGCTGGTCTCGAACTCCTGACCTCAGGTGATCTGGCCGCCTCGGCCTCCGGAAGTGTTGGGAAGACAGGCGTGAGCCGCCGTACCAGCCCAGAGCCATTCTCTAGCTAGGGGCCTTCACAGGAGTGTGGCTGGCAATTCTGAAACTAATTGGTGCACAAATGAGCAGAAAGGTAGTGTGCCAGAGCCAAATTTTCAGAGAAGCCACAAATGAGGGGGAGACTGGACCGAATTCTACGGAACGGTGTGGACCTGTGGCTCTAGTGCATGCAGAGAGCTGTACCACCATGCACCGTGGTGGCTGCAGACGCCTCTTGGCTAGCGGCACGCAGCACTGAAGCCCACACTTTGTCCCCAGGTCTTGGTTTTCTGGTTGGTTTTTTTGAGACAGGGTCTCGCTCTGTCACCCAGGCTGGAGTGCAGTGGTGTGATTCTCACTCACTGTAGCCTCAACCTCCTAGCCTCCCACATAACTGGGACCACAGGCGCATGCCATCATGCCTGGCTTATCTTATTTTTTGTAGAGATGGGGGTCTCACTATGTTGCCTAAGCTGGTCTCCAACTCCTGAGCTCAAGGGACCCTCCTGCCTTACCTCCTGGACTGCTGGGATTACAGGCGTGAGCCAGCACGCCCAGCCTCCAGATTCTGGTTTTCTAAATACCATTCCCCGACTCAAAGGAAGCGGAGCTTCCTGGAGAAAGGGCTGATTCCAGGGCTGGGGCACGGAGGGACCAAGATGAGCCGAGAGCCTCCTGCAGTGCTGGGGGTCAGCCCGTGCCAGGGTGGGGGAGGCTGACCTAAATGCCGTCAGTACAACACTCCGAGTCACAAAGTCAGCAACAGCAACCACTGCAGCCCACGCCAAGAAACAAACAGGTCCAGATATAAATAATGGAGAGTGGGGGAGGGGTCCTCCTTAGAATCCCAAATAGAACCAGTGATTTCATCGACGCCCAGGGCAAAGTGGGTTGAGGTTTGCACGACCTTCAAGGATCTTCCCAAGAGGAACATGAATTAAAAAGGGAAAATGAGGCCAGGCACGGTGGCTCACGCCTGTAATCCCAGCACTTTGGGAGGCCGAGGCAGGCAGGTCACCTGAGGTCAGGAGTTCGAGACCAGCCTGGCCAACATGGTGAAACCCCGTCTCTACTAAAAATACAAAAACTAGACGAGTGTGGTGGCGCACACCTGTAATCCCAGCTACTCAGGAGGCTGAGGCGGGAGAATGGCATGAACCTGGGAGGCGGAGTTTACAGTGAGCCGAGATTGCACCATTGTGCTCCAGCCTGGGCGACAGAGCGAGACTCTGTCTCAAAAGTAATAAAGGGTAAAAGCTAACTTCCCAGTGGAGACGCCTGAGGATGCCGCTGCACCCAGTGGTGAAGGTCACAAATTCACCCGCACCGAGACACAGGGATGCCACACCCCTGCCACCGAGAAGTCATGAAGACCTCCCCACATCGTGGGAAAACCGCACCCCCAGGCAGAGGACAATTCTACAAAATAGCAGCCAGCAGGTTTCAAACCATTCAGGTCACGAAAGAAAACCGAGGAGCTGTTCCAGATTGGAGGTGGCAGCACCAGGACGTGCAGCAGGGACGTCAGACCAGAGACTGCCAGGAGCACCACGGTGCCCAGCAAGTGTCCCGGTTTGGCCGAGGCGCACAAAGACCATGTTATGCAAATTTTAAATTATTTCAAAGTAAGAACCGAACACAGGAGATTCTGTCGGTTTGGACGGGGTCTGAGAATGAGCACTGCCGTCTGCCCAGCCCCCCGCAGTGAACACTCCAGGAGCCCGTCCTCAGTTGTGGGGAGATGGCCACATCCAGAGGCTCACCCAAGGCTCCAAAGCAAAGCTTGAGAAAGTTTCCAGGGATCCATTTGTTTATTTACAACAGCATTCTAGGAAAAAGATGAACAGGCCCCTCTCCCCAGTGCCCAAGAGGACAGGACTGAGGCAGCCCCCACCTGGCCATGGCTCTGCAGAGCTCTGCGCCCTCCCCAAGGCTGTTACCCATGACGGACAGGACGTTCTCTCAACGCCAGGGTTGATTTTGGGGAGGCTGGAGGGAACCACATCCAGGACCTACCAACACCAGCCCCTCCCTGGGGCTCCCAAGTTCTGAAAAAAAAACACCAAATGCAGTGAGCCAAAGTTGGGGTCTCCACGTTCCTGCATGTAACAGCCACGACACCGCTGCGGCCTCCGCGTGGGCTGCGAGGGATGGGCGGGACTGAGGGGGCGGGGACCCACACTCCCCACCAGCCGCCCACCACCTGCCTTTTCTACTTTGGCAAAAAAACAAAAAATCCTGGAAGCCTCAAGACAATGACGTAAACTCTAGGAAATGGAAAAGACAGCAGGTCCAAAGCCCCTCAGCCTCCCAGCAAGTCTGTCCCAAGAGCTGCTGGCAGCTCTCCAGGGCCACACTGGCAGGTTGTCCTCAAAGAAGCCCCAACCCCAGCCCAGCTAGACGGCTCTCCTGAGCGCCCTTCACCAGCTGCTGTGGCTTCCACGCTGGGAAGGCACCCCGTCCTTCAGACGGCAGAGGCGACACAGGCAGCATCGTCCGAAGCGAGGCCCCAAGGACAGGTCCTCTGGGAGACCCAGGCTGCCCACCGGGAGGAGCCGCAGACACATCCTCTCAGACTGCGCCAGCCCGAGGAGGGGCTCTGCCGAGGAGACAGACAGCACAGCCCACGTGGCCAAAGGCACCTCCAGAGGCAGCAACTGAGTGAGGATGAAGACGGCAGGGTGGGCACACTTGGATGTGGATCTGGGTGACAGTTCTGTCCCCATGGACTGGGCAGCTTTAGGAACTGAGGGAGCGCAGGAGGCCAGGGGGCTCAGCCAGCTGGTAGGGGCAGCCGAGACCGCACTCCTGGAATCATGGAGGAGGAGGGTGTCATTGTAAATGCCACCAGGATGGCGCGGGGTGGCACCTGACATCCCCCAGCACACACAGGCCTGTGGTACCTCCTTGGGCTATGTCTGTGCACATGGTGGGACCTCCTGCCCGCTGAGGGGGTGTGGAGAGGCCTCAGGGAGTTGCTTGGCAACAGGGTAGCCCTGACCCCCTCTGGCTGATGAGGAAGCAGCATGTCTGCTGCCCCAGAGTCTGAAGGCCCCCACAGTGCTGGGTAAAAGTCCACAGGGCCCCTCCTGGCCTCCCCGCTGTGGGCCCAGAGTCACAGAAATCACCCCCACAAATTTGCAGAAACTCAACACCAGGACGCAGATCCACCGCCCAACCTAAAGGAACAGGAACACCCTGAGGCCACGCAGGCCTGGCAGGTGAGACACACAGAGTGGCTGCCGGTCACAGCTCCGCAGGGCCAGCACAAAGGCAAGACGCGGTGGGGAGAGGACAGGAACCTTCCAGCACACCACGGGGCAGAGGTGGTGCACTGCGGCGGGGCACGGCTAGTTCCTCAAGGCGGCCAACCTGGAAACCAACAACACGACTCGGGTCAGGGCGGGGAAAGGGGTCTCTGACCAGCACGTGCTCCCGGTGAAGGTGTCTCCTCCGTGTGGTGTGCAATGACCCTTTTCCTCCTCAGTGTGCTGAGAGAACGAGTGACAGGCCTTGGAAACAGACATGCCCGTCCCACTTTTACCTGATCCGTTAGGAAGGGCGCAGTATTCTAAAGTGCACTGCAGACGTGCGTAAACGCCACGCCCGACACACACCGAAGCCTCCAAGCCAGCTGGAGCAGGATGGGGCAGCAGCGGGCGGCTTGGCTCGGGGGCAGCTGCGGCCGGGGCCTCTGAGTTGAGATCAGGGCTCCCTGGTCGGAGCCTTAGCCCAAGCTCTCCTCCAGCCTCTAACCCCCAATGCCCTCTCCCTTCCCACAGGACCAGAGTACGGGGCACACAGCGTTTCGGGGACCGACCCTACCTCCGTGACAGCTGGTCCTCCTGGCTGCGCACAGAGCTCTCGCCCACGGCAGAGGCGCCCTCAGGCAGCTGGCTGAGCTGGTCCAGCACCTCCAGGCCATTCTCCTCAGCGATCTGCATGATGAGGCTGTCCACCTGCTCCTGCGGTGTGGTCAGCGTGGTGGCCGAGCTCATGGAGTCCTCCATCACCTGGGGGCAGGGGCACGCTCTGGACAACAGGTGGGGCCCAGGCCCACGAGGCCCCACTCAGCTTCACAAGGGTCCGACCACACTTTTCGTTCCCTCACACAGCCAGCCACCTTCTTGCCCTGTTTGCTCAGTGACTCTCTCTGCCTCACCTTCCACCAGGAGCCTTTCCTGCCCCCACACCCAGCCCCACCCTCTGACTGCGCCATGCCTGCTGCCTTGGCTGGACATCCTTCTACACCTCTGCATGCTTGTTTGCTGTCTAAGCCTCCCCACAAGGAGCCAGGTGCCTGCAGGAGGCCGCTGCCACCCTGCCCACCCTACCTGTCAGGGTCCTGGCAGGGACCCAGCACAGAGGATGCTTGGTGACGTCAGGGAGCAACCACAGGTATGCAGAGACAGCATATCAGCCTGTGGGCCACCCCCCACGAGCTGCCCACACACCCTCCATGTCCCCAGGCCACAGCCCAAGGGCAGGGGCACATACCGACGTGTGGACGTCCAGGTTCTGCACCTGCTGCTCGAACCTGTCCATCACTGAGGAGACCTTCTGTAGGTCCATGGTGCTCAGGGCCTTGTCCAGAGCTTTGGTCACCTGGGCCATGTTCTTGGTCACCTGAGACAGGAGAGGGTGCAGGAGGGAACGGGATGAAAGGCAAGTGGAGCTCACGCACCAGGGATGGGTCCCCTGGGCTCTGACAGGAGAGCTGCGGCACCCCAGCCCTGACCCACAAAACCCCAGCTCTGGGCTGAGCCATCATCTGGGTCCTATGGAAAGATCAACTCCACGGAAAAGGCTGTGGAGACCCAGGGCGGGGTCCCTGGAGAAAAGGCTAACGACGTGGGGTCTCCAGGACCCCTGTGCCCTCCTGGCCACCCGCACTGTGGAAAGGAAATGCCTGCGACAGCGAAGGCTCTGCTGTGACATTCCCTGACCCAGCAGATGAGCCTGGCCATGCAGGCTCCGTCTCTTGTGGCAGCTGCCAAGACTGAGGCCTGGCCGGGCACAGTGACAGTGAGTGGTTCACGCCTACAATTCCAGCACTCTGGGAGGCTGAGGTGGGAGGATTGCTCGAGGCCAGGAGTTTGAGACCAGCGTGGCCAACACAGACACCCTGTCTCTACATAAAAACGAAAAAAATCAGCCGGGCGTGGTGGATGCCTGACATCATGGTCTCAGCTACCTGGGAGGCTGAGGCAGGAGGATCGCTTGAGCCCAGGAGGTTGAGACTGCAGTGAGCTGAGACTGAACCACTGCACTCCAGCCTGGGTGACAGAGCAAGAGAGTCTCTAAAAAAAAATATTAAAGAAAAAAAGCCCAGGTCCTATCAAGAGGTCCTTCCTGAGGCATCAGTGCGAGTGAGGGTGCAGCCTCACCTGTGTTCCCGCCGGCACTGCCCACCCCATGCTGACCCAGCTTCCCTCAACTCTGAGCTGCCCCAGATCCAGACCGCAGAGCCCACGTTTGCCTCAGTTGGCAGACACCACCCACCTGGCACCAGGGCCCAGCACTCACCCCCTTCATGGTCACGGCCGTCTGCACCTTGGAGGCCACTGCGTCTACGCGGGACGCCATCCGAAGCCAGTTCACACCTTCGTTCTTCTTGCGGATGGCGTTCTCGGCATACACACGGGCACACTCTACATTTTTCTGCTGAAGGGCCTGAAACACGGGGAAACAGCGGCTGGAAGAACTTAGTGGTATGTGTGCCCCCTGCAGAGGAGCCCAGTGGGTTTTTTTTTGAGACAGAGTCTCGCTCTGGCCGCAGGAGCCCAGTGTTGACTGCTCCTGGACGCCACTGGCTAGGGTGGGCGGGCCTCTCCCCAGAGATGTTTGAGCTAAAAATGCAAACACTCAGGCCCCAGCCCAGCCCCACAAGCAGGCTTCTGCTCCCTGCTGCACCCCTCCAGCATTCCACCGGGCACAGGACACAGCGGGCGACACCCAGAGCCTGTGGCAGGCAGTTATCCGAGCTCCTTTCTCCCTGGGAGCCTGGTTGTGGGTGAAGAATTATCGAAGTCCAATACCCTGGGACCTACTTCACCGATTACGCAGTCTTAAGAGCTGCACAAGATCCCATCTTTTCTTTTTTCTTTTTGGAGGTGGAATCTCGCTCTGTGGCCCAGTATGGAGTGCAGCGGTGTGATCTCAGCTCACTGCAACCTCCACCTCCTGGGCTTAAGCAATTATCCCGCCTCAGTCTTCCGAGTAGCCGGGACTACAGGTGTGAATCACTGCGTCCGGCCTAGATCCCTCCTTTCCTTCTGCCCTGTCCATCATGGGGAGGGGGCCCCTCCTGGAGAGGCACCCCTGTGAGCCTCCTGCCCCCTCCCACCCCATGATGCCCTAGGCACCAGCTCTGTAAGGAGGAGGGAGAGAAAAATGATAGGATCCGCCGGGCCTGGTGGCTCAAGCCTGTAATCCCAGCTACTCAGGAGGCTGAGGCAGGAGAATCATCTGAACCCAGGAGGCAGAGGTTGCCGTGAGCCGAGATGCACCTCTGCACTCCAGCTGGGTGACAGTGAGACTCCATCTCAAAAAAAACAAAACAAAAACAAAAACAAAGCAAAAGATAGGATCGTGGCAGGCAGCTAGCTAGAAGCCCTCCTCCTGTACTTTATGGCAAAATCAAGTTCAGAATGTTGGAAATGGAAAGAAGGAAAAGAATGAAGGCAATGCACTCATCTCTATGCTCTGGACGCCCTCGGTGGGCTGGGAAGGTCTGGCAGGGGCTGTAGAGCAGGACAGAAGCCACTCCGGGCTCCACCACACACAGCACCTCCCTTCCTGTTTGTCTCATGTGGGAAGCAAACACTCTGAGGCTGAGAAATCATGGTGAGGATTAGGCTGGGCACAGTGGCTCATGCCTGTCATCCCAGCACTTTTGGAGGCCAAGGTGGGCAGGTCACTTGAGGCCAAGAGTTCGAGACCGGCCTGACCAACATGGCGTAACCCTGTCTCTACAAAAAAATTTAAAAATTAGCTGGGTGCAAGCCTGTAATCACAGCTACTTGTGAGGGTAAGGCCCTAGAATCACTTGAACCCGGGAGGCGGAGGTTGCAGTGAGATGAGATCGCACCTCTGCACTCCAGCCTGGGCAACAGAGCGAGACTGTGTCTCAAAAAAACAAAACAAAACATATATATATACACACACAAACACACATACATACACATATATATATCTCAAGGTGAGGATTAAATTATGATGTAGAAAGTGCCCTGCCCCTCCCCAAAAGGCATCAAAACAAAACGGAACACAAAAATAAGGGCAGAAGAGGACAGAAGACAGACCAGGAGAGTCATGACCCCACGGCCCCCAGGGTCTCACCTTCTTCACTTTGGCCTGCTCTGCCTTGGAGTCCTTCTCCGCCTTCTTGGCCAGCTTCTCCAGCTGCTTCGCCGTGAACTGAGCAGAGGCCAGAGCGTCCTGGGTCAGACACGTGGAGCCCATCCCCCAGGCCTTGCTCTCCACACCCCCACACCTGTGCCCACACAGGTTCTAAGCACCCATCAGCCAGCCTGGGCCCAGCACATGGCAGGGAAGGCACGAAGCCTGCGGACATGCATCCCGGGCGGCGAGAGAGCACCAGCTGGAGGAGGAAGCTGTCTGCTCTGCCTCAGGTGCTGTTTGGGTTTTCTCCAGTGTCTCTTCTCCGTCAACACCCTCACCCAAGGCCTCCTCCAGAGCGAAGGGTCCAAAACCTCTTGCTCTGGTCTCATCCCCTGCTTAGAGATGGATTTCAACGTAAAAGAAAGACTCAAGAAAACTCATTTCAGGCTACCCCCAAGTCGTAAGATGGAATTCCAGGTAAACACACACCTGAAAATGTTATCTTGAGAGAATGCTGTGGATGCAACAGGTTGCTGGGCAGCACACACAGCTGCTGGGGGCCTAACTGCTCTGCCAGCAAAACAAGGAAACAGGGCCTCTGGCGACCCATCTGGAACCACAGACGCCACAGGGTTCGGGTCGGCCAGCACAGCGCCACAGGGTTCAGGACACAAGCAGGCCTCAGCGGGTCCCCTCTGCGCCCAGCAGCATCTGACAGACCCACCATGATGGCAGAAGATCCCAGGAGCTCAGAGCCAGCGACAAGGCAAGATGAAGCCGGCCACGGAGGAGCAGCCAGGAGCACATCCCAGGGAAATGCACAGAAACCTGCCCTGGATTACTGGAAGCTGCAACCACCACCCCACATGGAAGGAATACTCAGAAAGCTCTCCTCCAAACGATCTCAAAGAATGAGTCCACACAGCGGAACACCAAGGCCTAATATCCAAGTTGTCTTTCTTAAGATAACACTCCGGGCCGGGCGTGGTGGCTCACGCCTGCAATCCCAGCACTTTGGGAGGCTGAGGTGGGCGGATCACGAGGTCAAGAGATGGAGACCATCCCGGCCAACATGGTGAAACCCTGTCCCTATTAAAAATGTAGGCCGGGCGCGGTGGTTCAAGCCTGTAATCCCAGCACTTTGGGAGGCCGAGACGGGTGGATCACGAGGTCAGGAGATCGAGACCATCCTGGCTAACACGGTGAAACCCCGTCTCTACTAAAAATACAAAAAATTAGCCGGGCGAGGTGGCGGGCGCCTGTAGTCCCAGCTACTCGGGAGGCTGAGGCAGGAGAATGGCTTGAACCCGGGAGGCGGAGCTTGCAGTGAGCTGAGATCGCGCCACAGCACTCCAGCCTGGGCTACAGAGCGAGACTCCGTCTCAAAAAAAAAAAAAAAAAAAAGTAAAAAAAAATTAGCCAGGCGTGGTGGTGGCGCCTGTAGTCCCAGCTACTCAGGAGGCTGAGGCAGAAGAATCACTTGAACCCGGGAGGCAAAGGTTACAGTGAGTCGAGATCGCACCATTGCACTCCAGCCTGGGCGACAGAGCGAGATGCCATCTCAAAAAAAAAAAAAGGTAACACTCCGTCTTTCATAGATGACCCTAAGGATCTGCCTCCACTTAGCCTGATAAGAAAAGAGCTAATATGTCACCAAGCTGGCTCAATAATCCCCTCCTTGGTCAGCAGTCTGAGCCCTGTGTGGTGGTCACTCAACTATTACATCATCTACCCAGCTGTTTCTGTGGCTCTGAGTGAGTGTGGCTTACACTATCTGTCCTCACCAGAACAGGGCTGGGGTGAACGGCCGTTCGGTACATACCTTCAACTGGAACAGGGTATCTGCAAAGAGAGAGGGAATGGTTTGAGGATTGTGAATGGGATGTTACACTTCTAGCAGGCGGGACTTACTCGGATCCTTCTAGACACCAGGAGCTAGAACACAGACACAGACCACACCTGCCTGGGGCCTTCGGGGAGCCCCCCAACAAGGGAGGCACAAGACAGATTCGTGTGCCAGCCCTGGCCCCTTGCTAGCCACAGGGCCCAGCAAATGCAGACGCTCCCTCCCTGTTGCCTTGTTAGGAACATGAGGACGGCACCAGTCAATCTTAGAGGGTTAGTGTGAGGACGGAAGAGGTCGTGGACGCAGCATCTTTTGGCCATGGTTAGAATCCAAAAGATGGTGGTTTATAATTAATGCAACTTTGCAAAAGCCCCTTGGGATTCTTTCCCAATTTAAAAGTTCACCTGTAATCCCAGCACTCTAGGGGGGCCGAGGCCAGTGGATCATTTGAAGCCAGGGGTTTGAGGCCAGCCTGGGCCAATTTAAAAGTTCAGTACTTGACAGTTCACTTTTTACAGACTCTTTCTCCCCAAAGGTAAATGGATAAAAATAGCAAGGTGGTAACTCTTAGGCATCAAAGAGCTGATTTCCACCGGGCAGTCGCTCAAGCCTGTAATCACAGCACTTTGGGAGGTGGAGGCGGGCAGATCACTTGAGGTGAGAAGTTCGAGACCAGCCTGGGGAATGTAGTCAGACCTCATCTCTATTAGAAAAAAATATTTTTTTTGGCCAAGTGTAGTGGCTCATGCCTGTAATCCCAGCACTTTGGGAGTCCGAGGCAGGTGGGTCACGAGGTCAGGAGACCGAGACCATCCTGGCTAACATGGTGAAACCCCATCTGTACTAAAAATACGAAAAATTAGCCGGGCATGGTGGCAGGTGCCTGTAGTCCCAGCTACTCGGGAGGCTGAGACAGGAGAATGGCGTGAACCCAGGAGTCGGAGCTTGCAGTGAGCTGAGATCCGGCCACTGCACTCCAGCCTGGGTAACAGAGCAAGACTCTGTCTGGGAAAAAAAAAAAAGAGAAAAAAAAATATTTTTTTAAAAAGTAGGATTGATCTGAATTCATTCAACTGCTAAATTTGGAGAGTGACCCCTGATTCCTGAAAGGGCTTCACCACACCAGCCAGAACGAGGAAATGGAGCCTGTAAGAGACTGAGGTTACGGAGTGTTTACAAATGCAAATCAAGGCTCCAAGACGAGACTCCTGGGGTTCCAGTGAGCTCAGGCATCATTCAATCTATCGCCTGTCTGTGCAGGTGTGGTCAAGGCCAAGTTCAATCTGTCATCTATCAGTGCAGTGTGGTCAAGGCCAAGGTTATCTGTGACTGGAAAACAGCCAGCCTGACCCAGGTGACACAGTGCAGGCCACGCAGGCCTTCCCACCCAACTCACTGTGGGATGCCGGCCAAACCACCCCTCCTCACCTCAGCTTTCTTCTCCAGCTGTGTGCGGCAGCACAAAAACCCGGCTAAGGCAAAATCTGACTCTGTGGAAATCTGACATGGGCTGGAGAGAAGTCCCCTCAAAAGAGTGAGTGAGCTGTGGAGTGAAAAGTCACTTTTTTTTTTTTTTTTTTGAGACTGATTCTTGCTCTGTCACCCAGGCTGGAGTGCAGTGGCGCAATCTCGGCTCACTGCAACCTCTGCCTTCCAGTTTCAAGTGATTCTCCTGCCTCAGCCTCCCAAGTAGTTGGAATTAAAGGTGCCTGCCACCATGCCCAGCTAATTTTTGTATTTTTAGTAGAGATGGGGTTTCACCATGTTGGCCAGGCTGGTCTCAAACTCCTGACCTCACGTGATCCACCCACCTCGGCCTCCCAAAGAGCCGGGGCCCTGAGCCACTGCGCCTGGCCTCCCAGAGTGCCAGGGTTGCAGCCCTGAGCCACCATACCCGGCCTGGCCAGGGTATTTTTTTGTGGCGGGAGGTAGATGCTATCTTTCATCTTCTCTCGAGGCAATCTGTAGAAAATCTCTACACATTTCCTTCATGATGACACGGTGGTACTATAGCTTCTCACACTTCAAAAAGTATTTTTTTTCTTACACAGAGTCTCACTCTGTCGCCCAGGCTGGAGTGCCTCGCGCGATCTCAGCTCACTGCAAGGTCCGCCTCCCAGTTTCACACCATTCTCTGGCCTCAGCCTCCTGAGTAGCTGGGACTACAAGCGCCCACCGCCACGCCCAGCTATTTGTATTTTTAGTAGAGACCGGGTTTCACCATGTTAGCCAGGATGGTCTCGATCTCCTGACCTTGTGATCTGCCCGCCTACGGCCTCCCAAAGTGCTGGGATTACAGGCTGAGCCGCTGCACTGGGTCCTGCAAAAAGTATTTTTAAAAGCATGCCCATCACACCAGCCCAAGGTTTCAGCAAATGCAGGACTTCAATCTGCCAGATTCATCCTGTTCTTTAGTATCCCTGAGCACAGAGCCGGCCCCAGGTGGAGAAGGTCAGAACCAGGGTGTTCCATTGCCTGGAGCCCCTTGCCTTGGGCTGGCTCCTGCTCAGACCTCTGCCTCTCCATCTGGAGAATGGACCCAAAGAGCTGCTGTGACCAGGGCCTGGCACTTAGGGAACACTTTTGTCTGAGCTCTTCTCATTCGTCCTGATGCTGTTTGGAAGGAGGGGGTGCAACTGTCACTTTTTCTTGTGCCCTCTGACCCGATATTCCAGGGCCCGAAAGCCCGAACAGGCATCACTCAGTCCCCTCTACCGAGCTGGCGGGGAAGGGCACCTGACGCTGAAGAGTGCCAGGGGCGGAGAAAAGGGTCCTGGGTCGGTGGTCAGGGGTCGAGGCTCAGGGCAAGGGATCCTGGGTCAGGGGTCTAGGTCTTGGGTCCATGGTTGGGGGTCGGAGGTCGAGGACCCGGGGAAGGCGTACCGGGTTGAGAGTTGGGGGTGGCGGCCTGGGGGAAGGGGTCCCGAATCGGGGGTCGGGGGTCGAGGCCTGGGAGGAGGGGTCCCAGGTCGAGGGTCGAGGCCCGGGGTAAAGGATCCCGGGTTGGGGGTCGGGGGCTGGGGAAGGGTCCCGGTCGGCGGCCGGGAGTCGAGGCCCGGGAGAAGGGGTCCCGGGTGGGTGGTCGAGTCCCCAGCGGAGAGGTCCCGGGTCGGGGATCGAGGGTCGAGGCCCGGGGGAAGGGGTCCCGGGTCGGTGGTTGAGGCCCCGGGGAAGGGGTCCCGGGTCGGGGATCGAGGGTCGAGGCCCGGGGGAAGGGGTCCCGGGTCGGTGGTCGAGGCCCCGGGGAAGGGGTCCCGGGTCTGGGATCGAGGGTCGAGGCCCGAGAGCTCTCCCGAGCCCCGCCCGCGGCCCCGGGTGGGCGGAGCCCACGCCAGTGGGAGAAGCGGCCCCGCCCCGCGCGCGAGTCCCCGGAGGACGGCCGCGACCTCTTACCGTCCATGGCCACAATGACAGGAGCAGCACTCGGAGAGAGAGAAGGGACGCCGACTCCGGGCGGCGTCAGGTCCCGGCGGCGATCGAACCGACCAAGCTGCACCCGGCGGGGACTTCCGGGGTCACCGCCCCGCTTCCGGTCGTACGGGCTGCTCTCGCGAGAGGATGGTGGCCGGTCCCGCGAGAGGGGCGGGGCGGGGCTGCGCGGCGCGCGGTCGCCATGGTGACGCGCGCCGCGGCCGCGAGGACCTCTTGTCGGTCGTTCAGGGCTGCGCGGCCGCGGAGGTGCGGGGACCCGGGCTTGCGCCGGCGGGGGCGGTGGGCTCACCTATGGGCCTTTCCAAAAGCAAACAGAAACCCAGGAAAGGTAAAGGGGGCGCAGGCGCTGGGCTCCCCGCGTCTCCGCCCCTCGGCGCGGGCCCAGGGCGGGGCTGGGCGGGGCGGCGCGAGCGCAGGCGCCGACCTCGGCCCGGGGCGAATCGTTCCTGCCGCCGAGTCCGCCACGGACGGCGCCTTAAGTGTCTTCCCGCCTGAGGCGGTTACGGAAACGGAGAGACTCGAGACTGAAGCCAGCTTATTCTAGACCCAAACAGGCGACTGAAGACGATGGGACCCACTGCCCTGGATTCGGTAAGTCCCGGGTCTGACGGGTGATCCGTATGTTTCAGGTGAGGAGCAAAACAAGGAATCCATCTATTCGGTTCCAAAATGTAAGGATAAGTTGATGGAGAAGCATTCGCAGGAAACCAGGCAGGCAGACAGGGAGTCGGAGAAGCCTGTGGACAGCCTGCACCCGGGGTCCGCGACAGCCAAGCACCTGTCGCCGGCAGCTTCGCAGGAAGGTAGGAGACGGCGGGAGGGAGCGAAGCGAGGTCAGCGGCCTGGAGGATCTGGGGCTGGGGTGAGGAGCCTACTTCTAAGACCTTACCGGATGGACACTAGTAGCAGGCACGCGCCCTAAAGTTGAAACTGGTTTGTTTTAGGAACTTTATGTAGGAGGTAAATATCCAGAATTCTTGGTTGAAAACATGAGTTTAATGAAAATGTAGGTCAGTTCCCGAGTGATAAGTGTGTACCAGGTGGTCGAGGGGCTGAAGCAGTGTGCGTGTGTCTCACCTGAGGTTCTCCCGGAGGGCTGGGTATGTTGGTGCCACCGGGAATCCCTCAGCCTCCGCACGCTGGAACAGAGCCTTGGGAGGCCGTCCCAGGCTGGAGTGTAGCTCTCCGAGGGCTGCTGGCGCAAGCACATTGTGGAGGGTGACTGAGGAGTAGAACCTGGGTGCGACAAAGGCGTCCTTTATAACAGCCTAGTGTGACCAGATGTTTGGGTGTGTGTGGGGAAGATGAGGTCCTAACAGTAGGAAGAAGCTAGAATACAAAGTTTTCCATCAGTTTTACCACATGGAGCTGGAAGTGTTAAATAGTTTAAACAACGGAGATGCTGCCTGGCGCAGTTAAACCTGTCGTCCCAGGTACTTGGCGGACTGAGGCAGGAGGATCTTTTGAGCCCAGAAGTTCAAGACTAGTTTGGGCAACATAGTGAGACCCGTCTCTACAAAAAACAAATGTTTAAAAATAAAAAACGAGGGCGGCATGATGGGGTCTGTGCCTACCAACAGGGAAGCAAGTTCCCAGGGGAGGTGGCCCCATCGGAGACCCATTGCTGTTGGCCCAGTGGGAGCCAGCGAGGCCTTGCAGTACGAATTTCAGAAGGGTCAAGCAGGCAGAACCCGCAGAGCCTGTCATCTGAGGAGTCTGGTGGCCTGTGCGAGGAGGAAGTGTTTCAGTTTCATCACAAGAATGAACCACTCGGCCGGGCACGGTGGCTCACACCTGTAATCCCAGCACTTTGGGAGGCCGAGGTGGGTGGATCACTTGAGGTCAGGAGTTCAAGACCAGCCTGGCCAACATGGTGAAACCCCATCTCTACTAAAAATACAAAAATTAGCTGGGCATGGTGGCATCTGCCTGTAATCCCAGCTACTCAGGAGGCTGAGGCGGAGAATTGCTTGAACCGGGACCTGGGAGGCGGAGGTAGCAGTGAGCGGGATCGCGCCACTCTACTCCAGCCTAGGCTATAGAGTGAGACTGTCTCAAAAGAAAAAAAAAAAAAAATGAACCACTCGGGTCAGACAAGAAAGAGTGTCGGGAATGACTGGCCTGCTAGGCAGAGGAGCTGGGTCTGGACTGGTTCAGATAGGCTTGTGGGATCAAGAGCTGGAAGTAGGAGGCTCTGGGCCTTGGACTTGGAAAAAAGGCCTGGATTTGAATTCCTAGCTTTGGAACCCCTCACTAGAGGGTGGAAGTCTGCAAGAATAGCATCACCTCAGGGTGGCGGTTTGGAAAATGCTACCTGTCTGTCAGGGTGCTTTTAGCTGAAAGTTACAGAAAAGCTAAGTAAACACAGTTTTAACGCAGGGATTTAATGTCTCACAAATGAAGGGTCAGAGGCAGGGCTTCCAGGTTGGCTTGTTAGCACAGCCGTGACATCAAGGGCTTTGCATGTCTCTTCCTGACCACTCTCAGTGTCCACAGCCCCCAGTGAGTGTACAGCCCCCACACGCAGGCAGGACTGCGTCTACTTCAAAGGCGTTGCTCCTTGCTTTGTATTAGCAAGGAAACCTTTCCCAGGAAGGCTTCGCCTGCCCAGCCTCTCTAGGACACACTCAGTGCAGATTCCGCAGGGGCTGGAGGGAGCTGTGAAGCACAGCAGTGGGCAGGACCTCTACCAGCAACGGAAGTGGGGGAAGGAGGACCGCCTGTTGGAAAGGCCCCAGCAGTGTCTGTCACACCAGAGGTGTGGGAGGAAGGTGGACATGAAGGGAAAACAACAGAGTGAGGACAGAGTTTCAGGAGAGAAGAGGAAGTGTGCACACTCTCCGTGTGGTGACGGGCTGCGCGACGGTGAGGAGCAGGCTGCTGACTCCTTTGCCACACCGTGAAGGATCCTGAAGGTGGGACGCTAAGTGAGAAAAGCCAGAGGAAAGACCACTAATACTGCAATTCCCTTTACATGAAATGTTCAGAAAAGACGAACACATTGCAGAGAGAAGCAGATGAGTGGTTGCTGGGCAGGAATGGGAGTCGACCACAGCTGAACACAAGGGGCCTTTGGAGGGTCACGGAAGTGGTTTAACCTGAATCTGAGCCTGGGAAGCAGTGCAGTTAGCAGTCCTGGTCCCTAAGCCCGTCCTGGGGACTTTGGAGGGTGACGGAAGTGGTTTAACCTGAATCTGAACCTGGGAAGCAGTGCAGTTAGCAGTCCTGGTCCCTAAGCCCTTCCTACAGGAGCCAGACTTGTGAGTGAACAAGCCGTCAGTGATTCCAGGCTCTGGCTGGATCCTGGAGTCGTCTCAGCTTGGGGCGTGCACCTCGGGGAGCCAGCATCAGTGTCTAGCCCCAAGAGCCGCCCTGGACGTCTCAGTGAGTCTTTAGATGCCTGCAGCTGCCTGGGCAACCACAGGTGATACCTGTCCTGCCAAACCTGTCCTGAACCCATAAAATCCAGAGAAAAGCAAGTAGTTGTTTTAAGGTGCTGAGGCTTGGGGTAAATTACTATGGAGCAGTAGTGACCAGAACAGAAGGGCCATCATGGGGAGACAGTTTGGCCATGAGTTAATCACTGTGGCAGCTGTTGGGATATTGATATGGCTTGGCTGTGTCCTCACCCAAATCTCATGTTGAATTCCCACGTGTGGGAAGAACTGGGTGGGAAGTGATTGAATCATGGGGGCAGGTCTTTCCCATGCTGTTTTTGTGATAGTGAATGAGTCTCACGAGATTCGATGGTTTTGAAAATGGGAGTTTCCTGCATAAGCGCTCTCTCTTCCCGCTGCCATCCGTGTAAGACGTGACTTGCTCCTTCTCCCCTTCTGCTGTGATTGTGAGGCCTCCCTAGCCATGTGGAACTATAAGTCCATTAAACCCTTTTCCTGAATAAATTATTCAGTCTCTGGTATGTCTTTATTAGCAGCATGAAAACAGACCAATACAGATATATTATACTGTTATCATAACCACTGCTGTATATGCTTAAATTTTTGCGTTACAAAATTCACAAACATACAAACAGATCTAACACATCACAGATTTGCAGTCAGCTTATTCCACAGTGTGGGAAATTCTACCACAAATAAAGAACTTGGGAAAAAAGGAAGGAAATGTTAGAAGGAAACCTGAGAGACCTAGAATCTGGGCTCAGTCACTCCTGAGACAGTCAGATTGGGTATTTGGGGATGAGTCAGTGTTAATTTTCTTAGATGTGGCAGTGCTATTGTAATTATGCTAAAACACAATTCCTATCTGATAAAGAGGTATACTGCAACATTTATGGGTAAAATCATGTCTGAAATTACTTAAAGATACTCAGGGTGCTGGGCGCGGTGGCTCATGCTGTAATCCTAGCACTGTGGGAGGCCAAGGCGGGCGGATCACTTGAGGTCAGGAGTTGGCAACCAGCCTGGCCAACATGGCAAAACCCCGTCTCTACAAAAAATACAAAAAAATTAGCTGGACGTGGTGGTGTGCACCTGTAATTCTAGCTAGTTTGGAGGCTGAGGCAGGAAAATCGCTTGAACCCAGGAGGCAGAGGTTGCAGTGAGCCAAGATCATCCCTGGGCGATGGAGCGAGACTCCATCTCAAAAAAAAAAGATAGGAAAAAAATGAAGAAAGAACAAGACAACAAAATACTGATTGAGGCTGAGCACTGCTTAGGTGCAATAGAAAATATTCTATTTTCTTGTGTGTTTGAACACTTTCTTTTTTCTTTTTTTTTTTGAGATGGAGTTTTACTCTTGTTGCCCAGGCTGGAGTGCAGTGGTGCAATCTCAGCTTTCAGCTCACTGTAGCCTCTGCCTCCCAAATTCAAGAGATTCTCGGCTGGGCGCGGTGGCTCAAGCCTGTAATCCCAGCACTTTGGGAGGCCGAGACGGGCGGATCACGAGGTCAGGAGATCGAGACCATCCTGGCGAACACGGTGAAACCCCGTCTCTACTAAAAAATACAAAAAACTAGCCGGGCGAGGCGGCGGGCGCCTGTAGTCCCAGCTACTCGGGAGGCTGAGGCAGGAGAATGGAGTAAACCCGGGGGGCGGAGCTTGCAGTGAGCTGAGATCCGGCCACTGCACTCCAGCCCGGGCGACAGAGCCAGACTCTGTCTCAAAAAAAAAAAAAAAAAAAAAAAAGAGATTCTCCTGCCTCAGCTTCCCAAGTAACTGGGATTACAGGTGCCCGCCACCATCCCCAGCTAAATTTTTTTGTATTTTTAGTAGAGATGGGGTTTCGCCACACTGGCCAGGCTGGCCTTGAACTCTTGGCTTCAGCTGATCCACCTGCCTCAGCCTCCCAAAGTGCTGGGATCACAGGCGTGGGCCACCACGCCCGGCTGGGTTAAACACTTTTGTAACTTTGTTTTGAGACTTCTACCTCCCGGTTCAAGCAATTCTTCTGCCTCAGCTTAAGGCAACCGCCACCATGGCTGGCTAATTTTTGTATTTTTAGTGGAGATGGGGTTTCACCATATTGGACAGGCTGATCTCAAACTCCTGACCTTGTTATCCGCCCGCCTCGGCCTCCTAAAGTGCCAGTATTACAGGTTTGAGCCACCACGCCCGGCCTGTAACATTTTTATGAAGGTAGAGTATGCTTGATTGCAAGAAAATTTTGAATAAGAAGAGAAATGGAACACTTCTATGAGCTGTTAAAAAATATCATGCTGAGTGAAAAAAGCCAATCGCAGAAGGTCACATGCTGTATGATTCCATTTCTTCTTTTTTTGAGACGGAGCCTCGCTCTGTCGCCCAGGCTGGAGTGCAGTGGCCGGATCTCGGCTCACTGCAAGCTCCACCTCCCGGGTTCACACCATTCTCCTGCCTCAGCCTCCTGAGTAGCTGGGACTACAGGTGCCTGCCATCACACCTGGCTTATTTTTTGTTGTATTTTTAGTAGAGACGGGGTTTCACCGTGTTAGCCAGGATGGTCTTGATCTCCTGACCTCGTGATCCTCCTGCCTCGGCCTCTCAAAAGTCCTGGGATTACAGGCGTGAACCACCGCGCCCGGCCCAAAACAAAAATTTTAAGTGAGGTGGGAGGATCACTTGAGTCTGGGTGGTTGGGGCTTTGTTGAGTGTTGGTCGTGCCACCACCTGCTGCTGTCACGGGAGCCTTAGGGTGTCACTTTGCTAGCCAGAAACCTCTGTGACTGCAGCACTTCTGCCTGGGTTTTGCTCACACCTGCTGGGCTTGTACTGTCCACTCAGCCAGCAGACTGCACTCGGCTCACACTCCTAGTCCAGATCCCACACCTGCAAATGGCGAGCCAGGTAGACAACAGTGAGCGGTGTGTGGGAGAGCAAGTGTGGGGTCCGGCCGCTGCGCACAGCCAGGCTTTAGGCCATCCCTGGCTTGAAGGTGGGGCTTCACTGGGGCCCTGCTCCTTTCTGCCCAAGAGCCTTTCTGCCTCCCACTGCCATTAATCATGTTGTCCATGGTGTCCAGGCTGTTCGTGCTGAGGGATGCCTGCAGGCTCAGGCTGAACTGCCCTCAGGTCCCCCTCACCTTTCTCCCCATGCTCGTCAGGACCTGAAGTCTGGAGGGGGATCGAGACGGTGGGGGCTGGCTTGTCAGCATTGCCTTGAGTGCATGTACACCTGGCCAGGTCATGGCAGTGCCTGGGCTTGGCCTCAACTTTGCTCTGAAATTGGAGTGGGCATTGGGAATTGGAGTGGGCAGTGGGAGTCGGAGCGGGCGATGGGAGTGGGAGCGGGCGGTGGGAGTCGGAGCGGGTGGTGGGAATTGGAGTGGGCGGTGGAAATGGGGAGAGGCCAGACAGTGGGAGCAGGCACTGCTGAGCCTGCAGGGGTTGGGGGTGCTTCCTCGGCCCTGAGAGCACAGGGATGCCCAGGGCCATGGCTGTGGCTGGGTTGGGCCCCTGCCGCATCAACTCAGGAGAGGGGAGGCTCCTGTCTGTTCCTGTCTCCCGTGGGATCTGTGGAGCACACAGCCCTGGCCACGCCTTGTCTGCTGCAGCTGGTGCCTTTGCAGTGGCTGCTCCAGGTGGGCTGTGCCTGCCCTCACTGCCTGGGTCACCGGAGTGAGACCCTGACCCCCCCCAAAAAAAGAGAAAAAGTGGAAAATAGGCAAATGTTTTTATAAGTTTGGAATAGGGAACACCTTTCTAAGTTCATAGTCTCTTTGTGGAAATGTAAGTTGATGTAGTCTCTATAGAAAAGTTTGACAGTATTTACCAAAATTTGAAGTGAATTATACCCATTTACCCAGAAGTTCTAGTAATTTACCAATAGATAAACCCTCCAAAGAGTGTGAACACATAAATGCAAGAATGTTCACTGTAGCACTGTCTGAAAAAGATAAAAATTGGGAATAGGCTGGGCGCAGTGGCTCACACCTATCATCTCAGCACTTTGGAAACTGAGGCAGGAGGCTCCCTTAAGTCCAAAAGTTTGAGACCAGCCTGGGCAACACAAGGTGACCTCATCTCTACTGAAAAGAAAAAAAAGTGAGCCAGGTAGGGTGGTGTGGGAATAATATGGTCCCACAGGTGAGATCTGTGGTCCCAGCTACTCAGGAGGCTGAGGTAGGAGGATCACTTGGGCCTGGGAGGTCAAGACTGTAGTTTGCTATGATCACATCTACGAATAGCCACTGCACTCCTTCCTGGGCTACAGAGTGAGACCCTATCTGTAAAAATGGAAGAAAAGGGCTGGCACAGTGGTTCATGGCTGCTGTAATCCCAGCGCCTTGGGAGGGTGAGGTGGGAGAATAACTGGAGCCTGAGAGTTTGGGACCAGCCTGAGCAACATGGCAAAACCCTGAGTGTACAAAAAATTTTAAAATTAGCTGGGTGTGGTGGTACATGCTGGTGGTCCCAGCTACTCGGAAGGCTGGAGTGGGAGGATCATTTGAGCCCAGGAAGTTGAGGCTTCAGTGAGCCATGGTCATGCCACTGCATTTCAGCCTGGGCCACAGACCAAGATCCTGTCTCAAAAAAAGAAAAAGGGACATTTCTCAGTGCTTAATGCAGCTGTGGGGCATTCGGCAGCTCACACAGATGAGGCTCTGTAACACAGCACCGCAGGCAAAGGGAGAGGCCGAGGCCTGAATACCCCATCAGACGAGGCTTGGGCAGGCGACTTGGCCTCTCCACCTTCCCCACCTGGTTAGCCTTGGGCAGGCGAGTTGGCCTCTGTGGCTCCCCAATCTGACAAGCCTTGGGCAGGTGGCTTGGCTTGTCTGTGCCTCAGTTTTGTCTGTGAAATGTGGGTTGTCAGAGACTATAGCAGAAGCTGCCGTGTGTCATTTTTCACTGTTCTAGGGCTCAGAACAGGTACACGATAAAAGCCAGCACTGTCGGCCGGACGTGGTGGCTCACACCTGTAATCTCAGCACTTTGGGAGGCCGAGGCGGTGGATCACCTGAGGTCGGGAGTTTGAGACCAGCCTGGCCAACGTGGAGAAACCCCATCTCTACTAATAATACAAAAATTACCTGGACGTGGTGGCGGGTAGCCTGTACGTCCCAGCTGTGGAGGCATGAGGCAGGAGGAGTCACTTGAACCCGAGGAGGCAGAGGTTGCGGAGCCGCAGATCCAACAACCACTGCACTCCAGCCTGGGTGACAAAGAGTGAGCCTCCGTTCAAACAAAAATTAAATAATAAATAATAATAATAAACTGGCATGGCCATTGCCCAACTGTCCATCTACCGCTCGCAATCCAAGGGTTCGTGAGCTGTCAAGTGTCACCCACAAAGCTGTAGAAAACATACACACTGTAGTTATGTTTCTGTGAAAAGGTGACTGTGAGTCTTCTAACCCTGTACCACACACATGTGTGCAGAGAGGCGAAGCTCCGTCCTGCCCTCCCAAGAAGTCCGTGCATGACAGTCCAGGAAGGGGGGGCGGGTGGCCGGCCAGAAG